GTTCAAGTGTGCTATCATCCAAGGCAATGTGGAGAAGACTGATGGCAGCGGCAGTTCGAAGCGTGATGCCTGGTAGTAGCAGATGGAGTCATTTGACATTTTTACATTTGAAGCACAGTTTTGGGCGATGTAAAGACATTGAGACATTGCCGCTGTGTATCATGGGCCTGTGGTGAGAAAACACTGGTGACAATCAGTGGGGGTTTCAGTTGTGAGCTGATCTATTTACAAGATTCAAGTCAAGTGAAACTTTATGATGCCATGTCTATTTAAATGCGGTTTCCACAATCCTTCTGCAGTGGGCATCGAGGCGTGAGTGGGCAGGCAGACTTCAGTCAGTCAATCAGCACTTCATTCAATTGTCAGCACGACTATATCAATCAATATTATCAATTGTCAGAGATGTCAGACAACTCTATATCATCAATCAATCTTGCAGTTGAATAGTCACATGTGCTGTGATGACCTGTTTGCTTGATGCAGGTACACATCATCTGAACGTGATCTATCTACTACAACTTGAAGGCAAAGGCTGAGGAATCGCTGAAGGAGTTAGTGATTTAGTGCGTATGTATTGCTTGCATTACATGGACATTATTAGAGTTTGCATTGACTGACAGTCATTGACTAAAGATGTTTGAATGATAACTATCTCGGCATAACTGTCATTAACAGCTTGTATTGTCTAGACTGTTTGCGCTCTAAGACTCTAGTCCAAAGTAGGAAATTAGCAGAACTGAAGTCAGTCACTCTTTGCGGCAGTCATTGGTAAGGTGTCCATTTGGTAAGAATAGATGATGGGTCACTTGAGGGTATCCAGTCTATTGGTTGGTTGTACACTTGAGGGTATCCGGTCTATTAACCAACCAACTAACAGTAAAAGGCCATCTATGAATGATTGGCACCATGCCATGTGATTGATCTTGAACCTGGCAGGCGCTTCATTGTCTTGCACATGGAGTCCATGGAGTGGAGTAAAGGTGCAGCGCCATGTGTGTTGCACATCAGAGTCATCACTTGTTGGTGCGTCACTTGCCATTTGCAGTCTGTGTTGTCACTTGCCATTTGCAGTCTGTGTTGTCACTTGTCATTTGCAGTCCTATTGAATAGTGTGTTTATATATTATGAGCGGTATATACCAACCGAACATAAAAAGAACTGACATGACACAATGTGACTGAACACAACACGACAGGGCTGCTAAAAGACTGTGGTGAAGAATAAACAATCCAAACTCAACAAAACAGAATACAAAACAGGGACAAAGAGACCTCAGTGTAAGAGATTCAAGCCACACAAGGACATCAGCAGCCAGCAAAACAGAAATCTCAACAGATCTCGAAGCACAAAGAAAATCTCAAACTCAAAACAGCAAATCTCAAACTCAAAACATCAAATCTCGAACTCAAAACACCAAAGCTCGAACTCAGAAAATCTCAATAGATCTCAATAGATCTCAAAACTCTCAAAACATCTCAAATGGGAAACAACCCTGGAACTAAAATGAAAGGGGAAACTATTTTAGGACAGGAGAAATCTCAATAGATCTCAATAGATCTCGATAGATCTCATTGGACATTAGATGATTCTCAATGACCAACACTCAAATCTCAAAAAATCTCAAAGCTCAATGACCAAATCCATCTCTGGGCTCAAAGTGTCATTTGTCGTTTGACTGTGTCATTTGAAGACCTGATCTGAGCAGAAGCCATGGGTCGCACTAAGAGGCAGCGCATGCAGGGTATGATGATGCCAGGTATGATGATGCCCGGCATGATGCCTGGGATGATGCCAAATGGAGGCATGATGGATGGAGTCATCGTCAGAAGATGATGAGCGTGACCGTCGTGGGCGTGACTCCACAGCTGCAGCTGCACCTGCTGCAGCTCCTGCTCCAGCGGCGGTAGCACCGCAGCTTCAGCCCTCGACGGAGCAAACCAAGATCTCCAGCTCGGCAAGCTGCATTCGCAAAGTGCCAAGGTGTCATTTGTCAAAGATGGTTGCCACTTTGTGCCCATTCCTTGATTCTTCATGGACTGCTGATCTATCACCTGCTGGCTTGATGGGCTTGCTGTACATCCTGACGAGGATTAAGCCAAACAGCGACCTGTGCGATTTGAGCAGCATGGCTTTGTGTTTAGATATGGTTTTGTTTCAGCCTCTCACTGATTGATGATAGTTACTTTGCGACTTTTCTTGATCATTGATTGATTCATTCATGATTGTTTCAATCATGATTCAATGGTATGATGATTCATGGTATGGTTCATTAGTTGTATGTGTCAACTGTGGAAGGATTGTTGTGCCAAACTTACTACCAAATCAATCATTTGTCAATTGACAAGGCATTCGCTATTATGAAGAGCCTGCAGCAGCAGGGCAACCAGGATTGGGTCGAGTCAGTGCAGCACATGGTGGCAAAGACACATTCTTCAACAAGCTGGGCGAGAAGCTGCCATAGAACCTGAATGATGTTCATGTCTTTCAGCTTGCTGAAGAGCATGGTTGGCAAGCTCAATGGCTGCAGCCTAAGAAAGGGCCTCGAGGAAGGAGGGTATCAGCAGCTGCAGCACCGCCAGCTGGCCAACAGACTCTCACTGGCATGATCAATTCGAATGCCTCTTCAACGACTCCGACGACTATATTACGACAGCCAGTGAGACTCCTTCAGATGCTTCCCAGACTACACCAACACGTCCAAGTACTGCTGGTGCCAGTTCTCCAGCTACTGTTGAAGTGCAATCATCGCCATCGCCAACAGCTTTGCCTTTCCTGTTTGCTCAATGTGGCAGTGGAGTCTGGGACAACAAGGTCCAAAGCAGGAGCAATGGCACCACCGCAAGCGCCACAATGTCAGATTTGTTTCAATCCGCTCAGGGATGGTTGAGTGGATGCTCTTCCATGTGCCCACACGTTCCACCAGCACTGCGTTCGCGAATGGCGCCAGATCCACCATTTGACTCCAGATTCATGCCCCAACATGTGTCACAGAAGTGTGCACTTGGTGTCTGAAGGAGATTTGGTTGAGCCTCACCCAATTCAGATGGGACCTGGTGAAGATGACCTTGATCATGACATCGAGATGGAACCTGGTGAAGAGCCTGGTGTTGATGAGCTGGACGTTGATGACTCCCAGGTCATGTAGTCATTTGACATTTGACTGCACCGTTGAATTTGCAGTCAAAGCTTAAAGCCTTGACGCAGTTGGTCATCTGACATTTCATTCAAGTCACTTGGGATATAGTTTGCCAGCGCTAGTTGAGACTGATACATCTAGTCACTAGTCTAGACCTGTGTTGTTTGCATGTTTTAGGAAGCTCAGGAATTTATTTGGTCATGGAAGCTTAGTTAGTTTTGGCAGACTATGGTGGGATGTGACAAGTTGAGTTGCTGATTGGCCAATTTGTTTCAGGGACCAGCTTAGCCGCTTCAAATCTGAGGCCTTAGGTATTAGCAAGTTGAAATCCATCCCCTGCTCTTGGCTGGAGTGTCAAAGCAAGAGGTTTGTGCTTGAGTCCTTTCAAAAAGATAGTTTTGTGGTTGAGTCATTTGTATCTGACAGGTATGACTGAACTGTCTTCAGACTTTTGCATTCCTGACTTCAGACTTTTGTATTGACAGGTGGATGCTTGGCCTCCTTTGGTCAGTCGCTCAGTCTCATCAAGTTGAAGAATCGTCATGTGACGCTTGACAGAGTCAACCATGGTGTGTCTTTTCCTCAGTCCTTTGACGCTTGATGTGAGTTAGTAGCCAACATTTGATCCATTTAAACCACCGCAGATGAAGCCAGCAATCAACTTGCTGTACTTAGTAGTCAATTAGATGTGACATGGCAGTTGTTTCATTGTCAATCGATCATTTGCACCATGGCCTGGGAGCAGCCAGATGAGCCAGTGTTGCAAGCTCGTGCTTGCCAAGCGTTGGTGTTCAACATTCAGACGGAGAAGTGGCCTGCAAAACTGGCCCAAAAGCACGCACATCCTGGCCGCAGCCATTACAATGCGATTCGCAGCCTGTCACAACCATTGCTTTGCAAATCACAATGGCAGTAACGCACAGAACCGCAGAGCGGCGACCACGCGCGCCGCAGCCCCTTCTGGAGGCTCTGGGTACTGCGCCTGCCACTGCAGAGAGTGAGGGGCCCAGCGGCGACCACGCGCGCCGCAGGCCCTTCTGCAGTCTCTGGACACTGCGGAGAGAGCCGGAGTCAGTGATACTATGGAAATCACAATGGCAGTAGTGCACAGACACAGTGTGCGCACATCCTGGCCGCAGCCATTACAATGCGATTCGCAGCCTGTCACAACC